GTATGATAGAGGCGGTTTTCCAGGATGTAGGGAATTCTCTGAGGGAGAAAGAGGCGTTTATTAAAGTTAGGATTTGGTTTAGGAGACTTTCTGGACGATGTTTTAGGATGTTGTTTGTAATTTGGTCTGGTCCGGGAGCTTTGCGGGTTTTGAGGGAGGATATTTGTGTTTTCAGTTCGGTCAGTGTTACGGGTGGAATTTGGGGGCAGTCTGGGCGGTCAACCATCAGGCGTATTTATACGCAAGTTAAAAACGCCCAATTTCAGTATCGGCTCGGGACGCCCAAATGCGCCCACTATTTTCATCGACGCTGGCATCCACGCAAGGGAATGGATTGCCACTCCTAGCGCCCTTTATATCATCAGTCAACTGGTCGAAAACCCTGCCCATGCCCGCCTGCACCAGAACGTAAATTGGGCAATTATTCCAGCCATTAATCCTGATGGTTACGAGTTCTCCCGATCTTCAGTTCTGGTATTATTTGCCCAAACTATTGCTTCTTCACACCAGGCGGTAAACAATTCCAGAATCGACTGTGGCGCAAAACAAGAAGACCCAACCAGGGCAGTACTTGCATTGGAACCGACCCGAACAGGAACTTTGGCTATCAGTGGAATACTGGTGGCGCCAGTACGAACCCTTGCAGCGACATCTATGCCGGACCTGAGCCCTTTTCTGAGCCCGAAACTGATGCCATTCGCAGGTACTTCATCAACCACTACACTGAGATTAAGCTGTACGTCACCATCCACAGCTATGGGAACTATATTTTGTATCCTTGGGGGTGAGTCGCAATTCGTTCCTGTTCTTTTAGTCTTGTTCAGGGCCAATATGTGTTTTTGCAGATTTACTAGTGAATTGCCTCGCGACGCTCTCCATCTGCAGACTGTAGCTGAAGCTGCAGCTAGACCGATCGAAGCAGCCAGTACTTTGGGGTCCAGGTACACCATTGGTTCTTCGACCAACGTCTTATACGAGGCGTCCGGGGGAAGCGATGATTGGACAAAAGGAGCGATTGGCGTCGATTTGTCCTACTGCTTCGAATTGCCTGGTGGTGGTAAGAGTGGAGAACCCAAAGGGGTAATGGGGGTTTTCTGATTAAGACGGTTTCCCGTAGGTTCGTTTGGATTCAACCCTCCAGTGGCGATGATTAGGCCAATTGTGGAGGAGACCTTCGAAGGCTTCATTGCGCTGGGGGAATACATTGGGTCTTTGTACGGTTAGTGCCTAAGAGTTGTTTGGATATACACAGAATTTAATTTGTTTTGTTGTTTTTTTCTCAAATCCAACGCGTTGATTAAACGTTGAAAAAATGAATGGTGCAAACATGGAATTATCCAAATGTGCAGTTTTAATAAGTAATCGGAGCCGCGCCCGTCTATTAAAGTGCGTAGTGAACAAAGTGCAAATCCGAGCCTCAAAGCGATGTCCAGCAGTTTCCAGTGTGCGGGGATGCCTGTTATTTAAATAATTAGGCAAAGTTCGGCCGTATTCCAGGGACGGAACACCAAACGCGCGAATTTATGGTAATGACGGCCCAATCTCAATGATTGATGCCTTGTTGTTTGATAAAACCGGCCAGAGTTGTGTTTTGTAATACTCGCTGGCTAACAAAGATTTATTAACGTTATCCCATATCGCTTGTTGCTATTATGATTAAATGAACGTATTCGGCTAATTGAATTTCTCCAACTAGTGTGGATATTAAATAAAAATAAACTTCTTCCATTTGTAGCAGATAAATACGGATCGAGGCAACAGTTGAACTTAAAATCCTTAATTCCCTTCTTTTCATCTTTACGTTAAATTTTGCGATCGCTGTCCATTTCTTCCTATATATTTTAAACTTCCTGAACCACACCACAAAAATTGGCCAAAAAATCGCTTTGTATCAGCAGAGCAGAATATTTAAGGAGGTAGTAGCGGTATTAGGAGCAGGAGATTAGCGTTACGTTATTTTTTGCCGATGTAGATGCTTTCTATTGGCGAAATTTTGATCGAACTCTTATTCCTTTCATGTTTAAAAATTTGGAAATTAGAAATTTAATTAAATTTCGCTTTGCTTTGTAAAGCGATATTTCGCCAATAGAGAGCATCTACATCAGCAAAAAAATAACGTAACGCTAATCTCCTGCTCCTGATAATTTACATAGCAAAATATTTAAGGAGGCAGTAGCGATATCAGGTGCAAGAGATTAGCGTTACATACTTTTTTTGCCGATGTAGATGCTCTCTATTGGTGAAAATTTTTTAGAACTCTATTCCTTTCATGTTTAAAAAATTGTAAATTATAATTTTTCTTAAATTTCGCTTTGCATCTACAGATAAAAAAAATTAAGGAGGTAGTAGCGATATCAGGAGCAGGAGATTAGCCTTACGTTATTTTCTTGCCAATGTAGATGCTTTCTATTGGCGAAATTTTGTTAGAACTCTTATTCCTTCCATGTTTAAAAAATTAGAAATTAGAATTTTTCTTAAATTTCGCTATGCATCAGCAGACCAAAATAATTAAGGAGGTAGTACCGATATCAGGAGCAGGAGATTAGCGTTACGTATTTTTTTTGGGCTATGTAGATGCTGTCTATTGGGGAAATTTTGTTGGAATTCTTATTCCTTCCTTGTTTAAAAAAATAGAAATTAGAATTTTTTTTTAATTTCGCTTTGCATCAACAGACCAAAATACTTAAGGAGGTAGTAGTGATATCAGGAGTAGGAGATTAGCGTTACGTTATTTTTTTGCCGATGTAGGTTCTTTCTATAGGCGAAATTTTGTTGGAATTCTTATTCCTTTCATGTTTAAAAATTAGAAATTAGAAATTTTCTTAAATTTTGATTTGCATCAACAGACCAAAATATTTAAGGAGGCAGTAGCGATATCAGGAGCAGGAGATTAGCGTTACGTAAATTTTTTTTTCGATGTAGATGCTTTCTTCTGACGAAATATCGCTTTGTTATTTTCATCAAATAAAACACATCAATTTAAGAATGGAGGACATTTATTATATTTATATATATATACATATACAGGGTGTTTCAAGTTAAATATATGATTTTCGAAGAGCGATTACTCAGTTGAAAGGGCCGTTATTTCGCAAAAAACGAGTCGCCCCTTAAAATTGGATGAACAGCCCTTAAAACATCCTGCATATCTCCATCAGTTAAGAAGATTAATAACATTTACATTACAATTAAATAACATCATGGTCGTTAGCAAAGAGTCCGAAACAATAAATTAAAGCTCTATCATCAGCTCAAAGAAGCGAAAACTTACATTAACAATATAAATAATTCAAATGCGTCTATTTCGTTCTTTTTTTTATACATGATTGTTATATTTGTTTAGAGAGTGATTGGTCATTCATTCGGAATGACTGCAGATATTTGCACAGGGTGAGCACAAAAAAATAGGCCGCTCATGCTGTGAATATCTGCAGCATTATTAACTAGCTTAGCGAATATTTTAAATGTTAACAGTAATTACATGAGACTCGACAATGTACAGTTATATACAAAAGAGGGTTTGGAATCAAACAGAAATGATGTGGAAAAATCCTGGGGAATTTGCTGGAACATTGGTACCCTGTAAGTGGCATCGGTCAGGTATTTGCTACTTTTTTGCGTGCTTTTGTTGGAGAAGCTCGATTGCGTTTTTCAATGTTTCTCTGTTAGTTAATTCGAGCAAATGAAAATGTTTATCCACCACGTTTTTGCGTAGCTCTGACCATTATGTCCTTTATAATACCGAATTGCCCTAAAAGAACTACACTACCTTTGACACTAAAGACGATCTGTTAAAAATCTTATATATTAAACTAATCGTATGTTAATACAGTATTTTCCTTGTGTTTTAGATATTTAGTTATGATATGTCCGTTTATTTTACTCGTCAACTATCTATATTTACATGTAGGATTGTTCCGTTTTAGTACCATTTGATCGGTTCGCGATTTGTCACTGTTACACTTTACACGCGATAATAGAAAACTGTCGATTAAAAAAGGGGAATTGGTGGGTTATTTTATAGCTAAAAAAACCATTAACAGATTGTGTTAAGAAAATGGTTTTATCAGAAAAAACGCATATGAAGAGTCCAGGAAAGAAACGTGCAAAGTCACTATTTTGGGCGAATTAAGTTAAAATAGCCGGCTTTTGACCGAATCTTACGAATACTGGGAATAAACACTATATATGAGCAAATATTTAAGTTGTAGATAAGTTGGGATCATATATCATATCATATATCATGTCATATATCATATGATACTATGGGGTCACTATCCCCATTTTTTAGTAATATATTTATGGAAAATTTTGAATCAACTT